AATTTCATTTTTTTATTGTTGATAATGCTATCTGAGAATGCCAAAAATGAGGTATTTGTATTGCAAACCTCAAAATCTTTAACAAAAAATATCTGTTAAAAAATCCTTTTTCTTAATTCCATTGCATTTTTAGTTCCCGTTTTCTTAAATAACAGTTCAATTTTGCAATTATCTAATTTTTTGAAAAAATTGAAATTTATCTAAAAATTTTGATTTTTTTAAAATCAACTCTAACGGCGAAATCTCAAATTGAAGCATTATTCAATAGTACTATTTCAAGATAACATAATTTTTACATTAAACCGACCACATAGGATGAAACAGCATCGCTTTTATTAAAGTTTGAGAAAATTTATTATTTCTTGATTATTTAGTTTAAAAAAATATTTTTTTTAAAATTCTTTTAGGTGCTTTCAAAGAAAATCGGGCCACCAGAGAGGTACCTTGCAGTATTATTGAACATATTATAAAAGACTGGTTGAAAAGTGTTTTATTTAGAGAAAAGTATCATAAACAAAAAGGAAAATGTACAAAAGAAGGAAGTTTGTAAACAATGGAATAAAAAATTTGTGTATTAGCTTGTACGAAAATACTGTAATTAAAGTTATTAATTGTTCAGTTTGTTTCCTAACTTTCATGAAGACTTGGATTAGTAGAGGATACTTAGCTTAAGCAAATATTGTATCTTATACATTGTATTACTGAATATGAAAATAATTAGTTCATTGAATTTGAATGTTTGATTCTAGAAGAGAAATTTATTACATGAATATGCAATATGGAAATTAATTTCATTACATTTCCTTTAATACTTTTAATTTTGCTTTAAAATTTTATGAAATAATATAAAAACTATCAGTTTATAGATTTTGGGAATTTAATGCATTCCTAGTAGCTGAATTCAAATTAAAACCTTTTGCAATAATGCTTCAAATTTTAAATTATGACAATAATTATATTTTAACTGAAAATTGCTTGTTAAGAACCTTATCCATTGATTGGACCATCCACTGAACTAATTTTATAAATCAAATTTATGGCAAAAATAATGAATTTGTGAAAGATATATGTCATTTTATTTGTTATTAACTTTCAAAATACGCCTTCTAACGTTATAAAAAATTACATGGACAGAAGTAATTTTAACAGAGAACTGTTTAGTACAGTTAAATTGCTTGTAAACAGAACACAAGAAAAAATATTTATTTTTAAAATTTGCATACATTTAAATGCAAACTTTTAAATTTATTTTAATGACAAGAAATGTCCAAGCATTCACTTTAAATTCCTATCATCCTGATGCTTTTAGTCTACTGCAATGACAAAAACTCTAGACAGCAGTAGTCTCATATAAAGTTTAAGTACAGTTATTAAACTGGCATATCAGAGCTTATTAGTGTTGAAAGAAAACAATTTGTTTTTAATTTACTGCCAAAAAAGTACCGAGGATTATATTTAATAAGAAATAATTATTTCGTCCCAGAATATAATACAGTCTCCCATTAAAATAGCTTGGTGTATATGATCACATGAATAAGGTTTCAGAATTTTGAAAATTGCAATGATTCTGGCCATATATTAAAAATCGTGATTTGCAGTCTGATTCCTTTTCCTTCCAGTGAAGAACAATAACTTAATTTCTTGGTTAATTTATTAAGCTTAAAATACATTTCTATCATAAGAACTGTAACAAATCTTGTTATATGTAGTTAATAATAATGGTGTGTAAAACTTCTATGGGAATATAAGGTCTAGATAATATTGCATTGGAGGAATTGCATGCAAATGTAGAGAAAAAAGTGTAAAGTTTAATTAATAAATGGCATGTAATGAACTAAGAGAATACAAAAAAAAATAATAAAATTTGAATTTTGTTCATTTTTTATCGTTTAATCAGTAAAGTGCACATATAAAGCATAACATATATCTGTAAATGTAACATTTTAGGCTCAACTCTTCAAACAGATAATGTCTTTTCCAGAAAATTGCAGTGTTCTCTTCCGTTAAAGAAATGTAAAATTATTATATGAATTCACTATTTGGAAACTAAGTTTCTGGCATTAGACGCAAATATTACAAACACAAATATTTGATGTACTGTTGTCCTTCAGAGTCTGTACATATAGACCGGATTCAGAACGTTCTAGTTAGACGTAACTCAAAACGTTCTAGTTAAACGTGATTCGGAACGTTCTTTGCATGTTATACAGAAGTGTTAACAGTACAAGTATTTGACGTGCTATTGCTCGTTATAAACCTTTAATCTATAGACGACATTCAGAACGTCTGCCCAAACGTTAAGAGAACGTTCTGCTAGCACGTATAGAAACTTTCAAAGAACGTTCTAGGAACGTTATATAAAATTATTACTAGTACCACATTTTGACGTTCTATTGTCCATTAACGAACTACATCTTACAGACGTAATTCAAAACGTTTTGCCTGAACGTTACAGTTGAACATCTGTGATTAAAAGAAACTAGAACGTCTGCTAGAACGTTGAAGGAACGTTCTGTTAAAAAGTAACGGAGCTTCCATATAACGTTCAAGGGACGTTTTAATAAAATTGTTAGTAACACCATTTTTTGACGTTCTACTACCCGTTATTGAACTGTAACATACTGACGTGATTCACCACGTTCTGCCTGAACGTTAAAGGAACGTTCTGTTAGAACGTTAGAAGAACATTCATAGAACGTTATAAAAAAGTGATAGTAGTACCACTTTTGACGTACTACTGTCCGTTATTGAACTGCAATACATAGACGTGGTTCAGAACGTTCAGTTAAAACGTGTCAAAAACGTTGTACTAGAACGTTAATGACACGTTGCATGAAAGTGTTACAAACACAAGTATTTGACGTGTTATTGCCCGTCTTAGAACTGTAACATGTAGACGGCATTTTGAACGTTCTGCTTGAACGTTCCCGACACGTTTGTGAAGCACTTGCTCTGAACGTTCTCTGAACGTTCTTGTGCTAGTTCGGTTGCTTGCGTTTTTGGGGGAAAAAAGTATTTATTTTGTTCACTCGAATGAAACTGATTTTTTTTTTAAATTTTGCTATTCAGTTTATTAATCAATATACAACCAAATGCAAGTTTGGTTGTCATTATTCAACTTTGATATGAACATCCGAATTCTATGTCTTTCATACAGCTGTAATTTTTCCTAAAAGTAATTATAGAAGAGGATTGGAGTAAATGCAGGCTATATAAACAAGTAAAAATGTTGAAGTTAAAAAATAAGAGGTTTTCAGATCTAGGAAAACGAGGTTATTCAAAAGAATGTGTAAGTATTCTTCAGGTTTGAAGCTTTTTTTTTGGAATGACATAGTGTATAACAAGTAAACTCATAAGCAGAGAAATAGTGAAGGACAACATTTATGCAATATCCGTACGGAAATTATGCAAGATTGATTATATTACAGTTGTCCGTAAAGTGCGGTTCCAGCAAAGTAAATGTGACTGCAATCTCCTGAAAGTCTAAACGGACATTTAATCTTCGCTTTTGCTTTTACGTATAATTTACAGTTCTTCTAGGACTTTTATAAGAGCCAAGATCACGTGATCACTTAGTTTCAAGAAGTTTGCTCACATACTTCCTTTGATAGAACCACTCTTTATGGAGAACTGCAATATATTCAGTTTTTATAATTACCGCCCGCATATTGAATAAACGTTGTCCTTCACAACTGTCCTAGCATTGTTATTTAGCAATAACGTTAGTTTTCCTCAAAAAGAAAATGAGGGGGGGACTTGTGGCAACTGCATAAAAGTTATTATTAATTGTGGACATATAAAGGTCGTATCGCACAATCAAAACATTTCGGAAGAACAACTCTTTAGAACAAATTTTCTTCTTTTTCACACGATATGAAACAGCTAACGACTGCGGTTCGTTTTGGGGTTACCATGTAAAAGGGAAACTAGTTCTCCATTACAAATGATGTCCAGTGACGGGGAATACGATGCTCATAGCTGATTGGTTATTGAAAGCGTACAACTTATAATTTTTCGCTGAAGAAAGGAAAAAATCGTGAAAATCGTGGGCCTTTTTTTTTCAGTGGTAAAGCAGACAGAAAAATTGTCTGAAACAGTTGTTCGTCTGAAATAAATGGATGTGTGATACCAGCCTAATTTTTTAATTTAATTTTTTTTTTTTTAATTTTTAATTTTTTTTATTTAAAGTATAAAAATACTTTAAATTGAAAGATGATAATTTTTTTTTTTTTTTTTAGCAAAGTAAAACTTACGTGCAGTTGTCCCGAAGTGTTTCCTCACTAATGCTGAACATTTTGTCTTTTTCAATCACCTTAGGGATAGCGTTGCAATATAACTTGTCGACAGGACCGCATTTAAAGTTCTGAGACCCAAAAGCACCTATTAAAAAGTAAAATTTGTAATGAGAACAGTCACAAGTTGTTACGAATTCAGTCATATTTAATAGAAAATCTATCTTGTTGCACATCTCTGTCTTTTGTGTGTGTGTGTTTGTGTGGGGAAGGATGGGACAAAGCTGTACGCTTCTTCTGCAAGAGACACCATTAACCTGCATACTGAAAACTTAATTAATGTGTGCAATTTTCGAAAAAATGATTATGGGTTTCATTTCCTTGAGTATCGATTTTAGATGTATATTTTCAAAATTTCTTGAAAATAGGGCAGATGTTTATGAAAACAGTATTAAAATAACAAAGTGCACCTTATGAATTTCTCCTCGAATTATTCATGCATGAATAGTTTCTTTCAAATCATCCATAGAGAATTTTATGTAGATGCCGCTGTGGGGCGAGAATATTTGTTTTATATTTGATTGGGGGGAAAGAAAAGAACAGAAATGGCCGGCCTGTAATGACAGGAATTGCTCGTCTCAAATAAACGTTTTTGTTTGTTTGTTTGTGTGTGTGTGTGTGAATTCAAGCTTCATACATGGCTCACGCGGATTATTACTACTAAGTCAACCCACCTCTTAGACCTAAAAAGACTATAACATCATCAAATCAAAGGGAATGTTTTACAAATAAAAAAACTTTAGCTTCGAAAAATACATATTCTTTAAGAATTTTTCATATACAACAATTTTCTTCAAATCACCGAAAACAACAAAGTGAATGTTTTACTAATTAAAACTTAATATTGGAAAAATACGTAATTTTTATACATATTTTCCCCACAAATCTTAGACTTGAGATTTTATTAATAAAATTTTGCTCTTAATTTTAAGTAATTTTGCAAATGAAAGTACATACATCTGTGATTAAAAACTGAAAGGCATGTTTCTGAAATATTTTATACATGTAGAAAATACTTTAGCAAGCATAAAATGAAAAAAAAAAAAAAAAAAAAAAAAAAAAAGGACTGACAGAAGAAATAAACAACATATATTTTAAGATAGTGCTGATGGTTTAATTTGGTTTATTTGATTACGGCAAAACATCCGAGGGCTACCTGTCTAATAAGAAGGATGCCTTTGTGGAGGACTTTCTAAAGGAAACTGGCTCGTATCCACCTTACACATCCGGAAAACCAGGAAAATGTGCATGCTATCAACCCGTTCTCAGGGTTTCGAGGCCTGATCGAGCTACCAGCGTTCAGCGACTTTACCGATCGGCCACTTGTGTTGAGCCCATAAATACTGTATTGTAAACAACGGATTTTGAACTTCAGACTACGGAAGCACACTTAAATTTGAATTGCATTGTGTCAATAAATGCATTAATAATATTCATATTATGAATACTGTTAGTTTGTTAGCATGGATTAAATACCGTTATGCCCACAAGGCCAGGACTTTAGTTCTCAGGTTTAAGGAGCCTCAAATTATAAATCCTCACAACTCTTTTTACTTCCTTGTACGAAGTAAAAAGGAAGTATTGTAATCGCGAAAAGTTTCAGGCAGCATATTTCAACGAAAATATCCATTTTGACCGCTATCGAGTGCAATTTAACGATGTTTTTGCGTGATATCTGTACATAAGGACAGAAATAAAGGATACTCTTCCCTTACCTTCAAAAAAATTATAAAACTGCTTTTATAATTAATTCTGAAGAAGAATTTTTCGTGGCGTCTGTACGAAAGTATGTTACGTACGTATCTCGCATAACTCAAAAACGAGTAGCCTCAGAACGTTGAAATTTTGTATATAGGACTGCTATAACATGTAAGATGTGCACCTCGTATTTTGGTTGCAATCGGCCGCACCAAACGTATATAAATATATTTATATATATATCCACTCTGTTACCTTCTCAGTGATCTCAGTTTCTTTACTTCTTATATGTTTGTAGATTGTAAGTTTTTGCTTTAAAAATGATTGTATTATGTTGTTTTTATCTTCCAGTTAAGGTTTTTATGCCTTTAGTAAATCTGTATGCAGTATTTTTAGAATTATCAACAATTTTAAAGTTGTCTAAGTGCCGCTAAGCCTTTTTTTTTATGGCGGCCATTAATGTTTACATTTGAAACAGGAGACTAGTGGATTTGTTGCCAATCTAGAGAAACTTAGCTTCGCAACAACAAAGATAACGCATTCATTTATTATTGCCAATTAAATAATGCTTAATTCTTTCTGGAATTTTTTCGAGGAAACAAGTGTTTGAGATTTACTTCGTAATTTTTAATAGAGATATTTGGAGTTTTTATGTATTTTTGCCTTCTCGCGAAGTGAGAACTGAATTAATTAAATGAGAAATACTCAATCGTCTGTGAAAAACTGTTTCTTTTTTGTTTTGTTTGCTTAATTTCTTCTATACATCATTCCAGCTTTATTATAGTATTTGAATAGAACATGTGGCAACGATTAGATAATTCTATTCTTTAAATGATATAAATTTTGTGCATTATGAGTTATAATATGAACGAAATATATAAGTCAACTGTCATATAATTATTGGATTATATAACAGTTAACTGAGTTTCAGTTATATAATTATTATATTAGTTAACTGTTATATAATTATTAATACTGTTAAGTGAATCTAGCGCCAGAGTGTCGCTATGGTAAACAAATACTAGAGTGAATTTTAAAGAATGCATTTATTCTATTAAGCGCTGTCGGCGAAGTAGATTTAATTCAATCCAATAAGTTTAAATGAAATGCAAGAAAAAATGTGTATAATTTAATATTCCGTACAAGGAAGTCATATGGTGTACACATCATATTTTTTACTTCCTTGTACGAAGTAAAAACTAAGTATTGTAATCGCGAAAAGTTTCAGGCAGCATATTTCAACGAAAATATCCATTTTGACCGCTATCGAATGCAATTTAACGATGTTTTTGCGTGATATCTGTACGTAAGGACAGAAATAAAAAATACTCTTTTCCTTCAAAAAATTATAAAACTGCTTTAAAATTAATTCTGAAGAGAATTTTTCGTGGCGTGTGTACGAACGTATGTACGTACGTATCTCGCATAACTCAAAAACGAGTAGCCTCAGAACGTTGAAATTTTGTATATAGGACTGCTATAAACATGTAGATGTGCACCTCGTATTTTGGTTTGCAATCGGCCGCACCAAACGTATATAAATATATTATATATATATATATCTGTTACCCTCTGTTACCCGGCTCAGTGATCTGAGTTTCTTTACTCTTATATGTTTGTAAATTGTACATTTTTTGCTTTACAAATGATTGTATTATGTTGTTTTTATCTTCCGGTTAAGGTTTTTATGTCTTTAGTAAATCTATATGCAATATTTTTAGAATTATCAACAATTTTAAAGTTAAGACACAATAACACGCCGAATAAATACTAATTCAGAAGTCAAACAACAAAAATCAGCGTTATACCTACAAAATTTTCACAGGACTAGTTTCGATGGTTTTACCGAACCATCATCTTCAGCTGCAAACCGCAAATGACTGTTAAGCTTCAGCTGCAAAACCGCATTTGCGGTTTTGCTGCTGAAGATGATGGTTCGGTAAAACCATCGAAACTAGTCCTGTGAAAATTTTGTAGGTATAACGCTGATTTTTGTTGTTTGACTTCTGAATTAGAATTTTAAAGTTGTTTAAGTGCCGTTAAGGCTTTTTTTTTTTTTTTTTTATGGTGGCCATTGATTGTTTACATTTGAAACAGCAGACTAATGGATTTGTTGCCAATCTAGAGAAACTTAGCTTCGCAACAACAAAGATAACGCATTCATTTATTATTGCGAATTAAATCATGCTTAATTCTTTCTGGAATTTTTTCGAGGAAATAAGTGTTTAAGATATACTTCGTAATTTTTAATATAGATATTTTGAGTTTTTATGTATTTTTGCCTTCTCGCGAAATGAGAACTGAATTAATTAAATGAGAAATACTTAATCGTCTGTGTGAAACGGTTTCTTTTTTTGTGTTGCTTAATTTCTTTTATACATCATTCTAGCTTTATTATAGTATTTGAATAGAACATGTGGCAACGATTAGATAATTCTATTCTTTAAATGATATAAATTTTGTGCATTATGTGTTATAATATGAACGAAATATATAAGTCAACTGTTATAAATTATTGGATTATATAACAGTTAACTTAGTTTCCGTTATATAATTATTATATAAGTTATCTGTTATATAATTATTAATACTGTTAAGTGAATCTAGCGACAGAGTGTCGCTATGGTAAACAAATACTAGAGTAAATTTTAAAAAATGCATTTATTCTATTGTGGTTTATGCGCTGTCGGCGAAGTAGATTTAATTCAATCCAATAAGTTTAAATGAAATGCAAGAAAAAATGCGTATAATTTAATATTCCGTACAAGGAAGTCATGTGGTGTACACATCAGATTTTTTTTTTTTTTTTTGTCTTATGAAAACAAGGAAAGGGGGCCTTTAGGTTTCCTGAACGGACGTTATATCTAGATCAAACTACAGGGATATCCAAATTAAACTTCCCCAACTCAAAGGCCTGTGCAGAGTGTTGTATGGATCATAATGTGACGACATTTTGAAAACAGACACTTCAGATCATGCGCTCGAGATTTATTACACAAAAAAATTAGTACAAGAAGTTACCGATAGGTGGCGCTGTAACACTAGTAATGTGCATATTGCAGCAACGTGATTTGCAGAAATAAAGCTTCTGCGATACGTATCCAAAAGACGAGCCCTACAAAAGTCGAAGACAGGCCTCGCACAGGCAGTTGTTTCCAGCTCGCTGATGCACAATGGCGACTTTGAAAGACAAAGCTCTGTTAGTGAAACTTTTCTACCAGAATGACGAGAACTCCTGTGCTGCGATAAGAGCATTCCGTCGGCTGAAGATCTTACGCCGAGGACCAATGACACCACGCGCTCTCGAGACATGATGAAGAAGTTCGAAAGAACGGGACAGCTGGGAATTTTACCAGGTAGAGGACGACAGGTTGTGGAATCTGCACGCGT